CATACCTAGATCCAAAAAAGAACCAGCTCTAAAAGTTTTGAAACTTTCCTAGAATGATTTTGTTTTATTTGTCTATATTTCTGTGATGATTGATTGTTTATATACACACTTCGGCTGATGTCTTCCAGCCTTCTTGGGTTCTGTTTGTCAAACCCAGTAACTTTAATGTAAATTTAAACCAAAGTCATTATTCACTCACAGGGAATAGATTGAATAAAGGATTCAGTGACACCTGTAAATAATATAAATTTCTGATTCAATATATCTTTTACCAGAAATCATAATTGCCCCTTTGTGTTGTTTAATAATTATCAGTGTTCATAGCAAAAATACATATTTTCATTTATTTATCTTTCAACACATCCTATTATCCTCAGGTGTGAATAAAAATGTTATTCTAAGTATTTCATAAAGTGGTTGACTTCATTTTCTTCTAAAATTTCTGAAAATCCTACATTTTTCAATAGGCCTCCAGTTTTGGCTCTCAGTTGCGCCATGACTTGGCCTGGAGTATAGAACGTCATGCATCATGCCCAAATATTTTAATAGGCTCGGAAGATATTACAGATTTCGATTCTTTTAATATAAGTCCCCATTTTTGTGCTGTTTGTTGGTATCTCTGACAAATCTGATCATGGTGTTTTTGATCACAGCCACCAATGGTGATGTTGTCTACATAAGGATATGTATTTATAAGGTTGTTCTCTTTTTTGACAAATTCGTCCATTGCCCCTTGAAACATAGAGACCCCATTGAACCAATGAAGTGATTGTAGGGGAGTAATGTTACAAATTTATTTGGGTGAGGGTCAAAAATAAATCTAGGGTTGAATTTTCAAGCAACCACTGCCTAATATAATTGGATGAAATCCCACTTATAAAGGCATCTCAGCTTTGCTCTTCTCTGTATTGTTCAGCCATGACTTTTTTATAGTTGTAATCTTTACTAAGATTTTGGAGTTTCTGAAGAAAATTCTTAAGGATCTCCTCTGGATTTTGGCATCTGGCCAGAGGCTGATGCTGAGCAAGGTGGCTTGATATATAGTTGGTCCAATGTTTGGACAGCTTCCTCATAATTTGTACAATCTTCGATGTACTCATACACCCCAGATGAAATACAATTTAACAGAGATTGGAACTTGTCCAGTGCTTCCTCTCCATATTCCAGAATAAAATTTTCAAATGTTCTTTTCCAATGCTTCAAGTCGTTAGAAGCATTAGGGGAATTGCGATCTGAGTCTAATTGATATGGCTTGAGTAATTTGGACATATAAAAATTTTTCCCTCTTTTGTTGAATAAATTGTTATGAATTTAAAAGCAATTCAAAAACAGCAGGAAGACATGATGGCGATAACCTTAAGAAAGGTTTCATTCAACAAAAAAAATTGAATCAAATAGCACTATCTTTGCCTCTCAAAAATACAGCCGAATTTAATAAAGGAATATGTATGTTTCATTGCATGCAATAAATTTACGTAGAAAGCCCAAAGGAAGAGTTCACGTCAATAACAGCCACTAACTGAATAAAAAACTACTATGCTAGCATTGAGGTGGTTTAAAATTAGGTGATAAAAAGAGTGTACCTTCAGAAGTAAAAACATTTTTTACATTAATCAACAGATATAGATATGTTTCAAAATAAACATGTGAGGAGAGTAGAAAGGACTTGGACAAATAAGAGTTCATCATGTTCATTACATCAATCCAGTTTTAGTTAGGAGAATAACCTCAGAAGCCTTAATGTATCCATGTCTTTATAGGTTAGTCTATGTTTTAATAGTTAAAACTATGCAAACTGAATATTAGATATTCAACGCATACTTATGAGATGAAAAGTATTTCCAAGATCAACCAATCCCAACTCTGAAATGAAAAATTGATGAGAACTACAATTGAGAATAAGTTACAGGATAAATTTAAATCTGGGATTAGGTTGTTTACTTCCAATAGGCAGATTGACAAACAACAACCACATCTAGAATAAAGAGGGCTGTCAAATCAGGAAGATTAAGTGATGTAGCAATTACTAAGGCAGAGCTGACCTTCTTGCTTATCTAGATAAGTCAAATCAACAAATATAGCAACTCAATTTTGTGCAGAAAAAAAATCTACAGATCACTACAGATTGGTCAATCGACAGAGCCACATCACCAGATGGCTAACTTTTGAATACAAATGAGGAATTTCATAATTACTTCCAAAATCTTTTCATAAGGTAGCCCATCTATTTAGCTGAAATGACTCATTCTAAGAAACCCTTGACAGAGAATGAGATTTGGGAAGTGCTGAAGAAAACAAGACCCTGATTATCGATATATACTATAAATAGAAATACTTATAAATTGTACTTGAGGCAACTGAACGTGTTTGTCTCCTTGCTGATACCAATCTTCAGCAACTAACTGAAGTCAAGAAATATTCCCCAAAATTTCACCAGAAGTATGGTGAATTTTCTCAACATAAGCAGATATAGTGATCATGGGATTAGTAAATTTTCATTCCTTAACTATGTTCAAGAAAGGCTTTAGTGAAAATCTTATTAAATCATTTGCCAATTGTGTCAAATCTATTCAACAAAATTCTCTACTTTCACTCATGCTTTTCTTTCTTGCATTCAAACATTACATGGTGATATCATCATGACCAGATACTCCATCTATACTGACAATTTGATCAGTGAAAATCAATGGTACCAAATTCGAGTTCCTGAAAGCTATAGTAAAAGTCTTCCATCAGCCAATTTTAATAGTGTGTGCTAAACTCGGTATTCATGAAGAAGCAGTCAGTGAAGGTCAACTAGCTTTTGTCATAATTGTGATAAATCTACTCTTTCCCTGTTGCACTTCAGTTGTGGTGACAGTACATACAAGATAATTGGCACTGATTCAGTGCAGATTTCTGATGGAAAAGGAATTCATCAGGGGCATCGGAGATGGTTGATATTGCAGTTTATTTGTTTTCTCAAGGGAATCTTCTCTTACCTACTAACTTTACCTTTCCTGACTACTGACACTATACTCCCATGTACCAAACTAACTGAGATAGAATGACCATGATGCAAGGCAATCTTTGGGTCAGCAAATGCCTTACAGTACATGTGCTAACAAAAACCCTGATTTCCCATGTATATGTTTTTGAGTAACCCTTGTTCATAATACATATTCTTCCTCTTTATATCATCATATATATGATGAAGTTGTAATGTTTAGTCAAATAGCTAATAGGATTGATTTTATTTATAACTATACTTGACTGAGATTTAGTATTTTCAAATTTCCTTGAACCATGATTTTGTAAAAAGTAAAATTTACTTTCTGATTATACCAATTATATTTTCTCTACTTTTAATCAATTAGTATTGGTACACTATTTTTGGCATGGTGAAGTAATGGATAGTGGTTTGGATTGAGAAATCAGAGAGCTAAGTTCAAAACCAGTCGAATCCATTACATTCACGTATGTACTAATACCCTTGGGAAAGGTATGAATCCTCTTCTTTTCCCCCCAGCTATGGGCAAATAGCCGGACTTACTGGGTTCTATAACCTTGAATGGAAACTGAACTACCAGAGAAAGAAATGACAACCTACTGCAGGGAGAAAAATCTACCCTGTCAGTCATGTATCAGAAGATACATGACCACCTAAGACACCTCCTTGCCTTATGCCCCTTTCTATTTTTGTATATCTGCTGAACTCATTTTTTATCTGTTTGCAGGCCGTTTAACTGCCAGTAATAGGTTTTTGATTATTCTAACATCTTTCCTAAATATTCCAAGGTTGTTGAGCAGCACTAACAGATCTTTATGGGGTACTTTGTCCAATGCCTTTGCATAGTCTATAAAACATAGATACACGTCCTTCTGCATCTTTCTGATAACATTCTAAGCATGAATATTGTGTTCCTTGTTCAGGTCTCTTTATCGAACCTGCACTCTTCTTGTCCTATCTCTGGCCTGATCATGCTGCATGCTTTATTCATCAGAATACGGATGATGAATTTTGCTATATGATACATTAGGCTGATTGTTCGGTGGATTTCACATTCCATATTTGCCCTAAAAAGCGAGCGATAAAGTAAAAATAAAACTCAAAGAAATACGGAAGACCAGCAGTGCAATAATCAAGAATTTGTGATTTTTATGTTTAAAAATAAATTTTCTTTCAACTTACAGTATAAGTTTAAAGAAAATTTATTTTTAAACATAAATCACAAATTGTTGACTGTATAACCTATTGTTATCATAGTGTTTTAGTTATATAATCTGTTTGTATTAAACTTAGAATAATTATTTAATTTGAAGGCATTAAGTCGCTCCCAAAATAAAAGCTTGTAATTTGCTTGTAAAATATTCTTTTATGTACAAATTACAGGAAAAATAAAACAAAAAATTGTTTTTAAAATAATACTAAAAAGTAAACTTTTGTATATCAACTAATTGATTATTCTTGTAGCGTAAAAAATTCAAGAAATCAGAGACATGAAAAAAAAAAAAGGAAAGAAAAACAACAAACACCCATTGATGTATTGGAAAAAAAGGTGATTGTTTCAAGACACAAAAATTGACTGAAGAAATGAAACAGGAAATTAATTTCTCTTCCAATATTGAATTGTAGTTTAAGTTAGTCAGTAAACAGTTGCTAAAAAAAATATTTAAAAAAAAAAAAAAAAGGTTCACATCCGAAAATGACATTTGATTTTTAAACATTACATTTTGTGAATTTTCAAACATCTTTATTTAACAAAAGAAAATCCCACTAAAAAATTATAAGCAATTTTGTTTTTTTATAAAATCTAGACTTTATTCTTGTAAAATATATTTTTTTGTCATTTTTGCAGGGAAAATAGAAATTTCCTGATTAATTAGGACAAGAAAATGAAAGTATTTTTAAAAGAACGTTACTCAATAAATTGAATATGTAAGTAAGAATTGTAGTTTAGGGAAAATGTGTTTTAGTGTTTCTTTTGTGAAAAGAATAAAAATAATAATTTTAAACTTACAAATAAAGGGTGATGACAATGGCTAATGTGACCAACAAAAAATTAGGAATATATAAAACCCCAAATAAATCCATATCTGCGTCAACAAGAAGGGATTTTGTTTTCCTTATAATTTACGACTGTCTCTCTGCCTGCTGCTAAACTCAGTCTAATAATTTGACCTGATAAAAAGAGCACACTTTAGTTTAAATATCAGTTGTTGGCCTAGAAAGAGCACACTAAATATCAGATTTCAGATTAATTAGTAAATATATGAAGTCCAACAAGTTTATTAATTCCTTTTTAGTTTAACAAAGATTAGAACAACTAACAACTATTAATATTTATATATATATATTAATTGACATCAATTTGTGTAATTAGTGATTTACTAAAGACAGCTTAGATGTGACACAAAAAAAGTCCAAGATAAATAAGGATCAAACTCACTACTCAGTCGTAATTGATTGGGCGTGGCAAGCTTTATAACACTGAAGTCATTTCAAATTTGTTAAAATTATCAAATCACCTTAAATCTGTTATTATTTTAAACTGTTTTAAATGTTTTAAGTTGTAGGTTTTGTAGTTCCCTATTTTCTTTTTTTGTTGAAACTTTTCTCGACTTCAGTCACTTTCTCACCGACATAAGGCGGCTTCCCTCTGTCTTTTCTATAAATATTTTCATGGCATCTACTTTGACGATCTATTTTCACTGGTGCCTTGACTGCATGAATTTAAGTGTGCTACTAGGTTGGTACCTCGGTCCCACCCTTTTACTGTCAAAACAGTTAAATGTAACTGCCTCTTCTATTCCAAAAGATTCTTCTCTTGCACTTCCTGACAGTGGAACTCCCTTCCTCTTAAATTTAAATGTAATTTCAATCGACATCTTCTCTTGCCTTGATTCCTTGTTCTTCTTTTATCCTTTCCTCAACCACCCCCCACCTTAATACTAAGTCTTTTTCCTTACTTTCACTATCTGCAACCCCCTTGTGTACTAGTGGAATTCCCGCCTTGCTTCGGGTGAAATACTTTTTAAAAAAGTTACATTTTAGTAGTGGGCAAATTTTAATTAATGAATTGAATAAAATAAAATAAAAATATTTCTTAAAATTCCTTGAAATGTCCAAATCTCCTTTTCATCTTCTTAACACCTTATTAATATTTTTCAACACTGACATTTTTAAGGACAGGTCAAATCAGCTAAGTTTCTTTCTGAAACGAGATACTTGGATAAGCAAAGGTTTGTTTACATTATTTACATTGTTTGTACTGTTGTCCTCATCTTTATTGTCATGTTCATGACGTTTCGACTGTTGTATGCTCTGGCCAACATCAGGTGAATTGGAATTTTAATCTACCCTGGTGGACAAAATAAAGGTTTTTATTTCATCCACTGTGGTAGATTGTTCTAGTTCTACATGCCATACCTCTTCTGAACAATGTAAATAATGTAAATAATTACGATACCTCATCTCAGAAATATAGCAGGCAAATGTTTGTGCGTAAAATATACTCTCCGATTACTTTTTTTCGTATTTTTTTCTTTTTTGTTTATAAGTTTGTAATGTTTTCATCATTCTTTTGAGCTGTATTCAAAGTGTATGAAAAAAACTTGGAAAAAAAAAGCTATTAATGTATATTTGGGGAGGGGGGCATTTAAAAAATATTGGGAAGAATGGAGACCAAGCGACAATAAGATGCACTGTAAAAAAAGCAATGGAAGAAAATCAAAACAATTTTATTAAAATAAAATAAATGCAAATTTTACTGAATATTAGGGATTCACAAATTTGGTGGTTTGCACACTTGGAATTGGGAATAATAAATTCTTGGACAAGTAAGTTATTTCTTCTAAAATAAAGTCCAATGGTAGTTTTAAGGAAAAAGATTAAGTTTACAGTTAATTATTCAAATAACATTGGATATCACAAGAAAAAATGCCAGCATATGTAAAACAGTTTAATTTACAAGGAATCAAAGGTTTTCAGTGAGGTCGAACCCAGTTAAAAGGGTAATTTACCTTGAAGGTATAAAATGTGAATTCTCTTAATAGTTCTTGTGATTTGATGTATGTTGTCAAAGTTTGCAACAGAATCCTTTCATGTCTTCAACATAGAGAGTTGTTTTGTGAACAGTACTTGTTCACTTTTGTTGAAACAACTATTTTGTTACAATAGTTGGGGTGAAAATTAGACTAACTCCCGTCATGAAAACAACAAATTGATTGTCAAGACTTTATTGAGGAATGACTTTTCAGTCAAATTTTCAGATGTTTTTAGAAGACACCACATCTTCCATTCCTACTAGTGTTGATTTTTATAGCCAAAAGTCAGCTCTGATTTTCCTGACAAATTTTGGCTATCAACACACACATTTCAGATTTCAAATGGATCGAGTAGCCATTGGTAAAAAAATCTTGTTTATCAAAACAATTTATTGTAGTACCAAACACTTCTGTTTTTTTTTTTCACATTTCTTCACCTGCAATTGATTCCCCACCATCTCTTTGGTCAAGGAGCTTTGAACTGAGGGTGGCAAATAAAATAAAAATCAGGTTTTAGTAAATTATTTTATTATCTTTATCTTTTCCCCACAAACTACTGAGAACCGAAATTTACTCAAAATGAAAAAAATACTTTTTAGCTTTTTACTTTTTTTTAGGCATTTTTAAAACATTGACACAGTTCACATGTCACTCATGGAAGCATCATTACAGAAGAAAAAGGCAAACAACAAGTTTTAAATCATTTAAAAATCCAATATTTGTCTGAGAGATGTTTCAAAGCCATTTTTAATACATTTTTGTAGGTACCTCCAAAAATTTGCTAAAAAATGAGGATACATGATGGAAAAATGCTGTAAACATAATAATAAAAGTTTTATTATCAAAATCTTTGTTGTTATTTATCCATTTTAGGATGTTTATGTTCCAACAGTGTCAATGTTTTATCATAAATTAGCTGAATGATCCACACCTTGCGGCGTGTTACACATTATTTTGTAAGAAACTGATTGATTTTAAATCATTGTGATAATTTGTGGAGAAAAATAATGCATTTCAATATTACTCAATGACCTTGCTGATGTGACCTCCATCTTCTGGTTTTTTCCTTCTATATTTTGCATAGGAGTTATTCCCTTGTTTAAATTTAAATTTAATTTAAATTAAAGGGAAATTTTTTTTATTTCAAAACAAAAACTCCTTTCAATCAACTTAAATTAGTTTTGAAAAACAGCAAAGTGGCTTGCTTATTGGAAATATTAAATTTAATCTATTAGCTTGAAATTAAACTTAAAATAAAGGCTTCAAGAAAGATTTTTTTTATTTTAAAAAAATCATTTTAAACCTTAGGTATTGTATTTCTTTGGAGGTATCTCCTTCTATAAAGCCTTATGTTTTTCTACCTCATTTTATTGTGATTGGAATTACTTTTACTAAGAATGCAATTTAAAAAGAGTAAAATATAGCCTCCCAAGAGAAAAACTTATGTGTATTTTGTGTGGATCTTTTCAAATATTGCAATGAAACTTCCTGTCACGTTATACAAGGTGCGATGGATAAATTGTCATCTAAATTATGCAACAATCAAAATAACACTGACATCTCATTTTAACAGATATATTTACCAAAATTACACAAAAAATATCTTGAAATACTAAAAAGTAAATTTATTCAATAAAATCACCATTGACCACAGCCTCCAGATGACTTCAGAATCTCTTGCAACTCTTCTGAATCATCTCCTTCTTTGAGTTGGGGAATGCTGCCATAATCCTTGCCTTCAGTTCATCTTTGGTGATACAAAAAGTTTCCTTGGTCTCTCACTCAACTGCGTCCCACACATAATAATCAAGGGGGTTGCAGTCTGGGGAGTTAGGTGGCCAGTTTTAAGGAGTGATGTGGTTGCAGAAATTGTCTAACAGCTATGACTTGGTTCTCCTGCTTGTGCGGCATGGTGCAGAGTCCTGTTCCCAGACACAGGGTCTTCAAGCAGCCATCCTATTGACCCAGGGTAACGCTACCTCCTCAGGGCACTTCATTTAGGCCTGATATTGAGACTGAGACCCTGACCAACAAATTCAGGAGTTCTTCTCTTATCAGAATGATCAGAGTGAGTTTTTCAAGCTGCCATACCTTCATGATCACCATTAGATTCATCCAACTCTTTCTGAATTCTCTGCACTCTCCTCAGATTGACATCTAAACACTCTGAAATGTTTGTATTGGAGCTTACACCGCAAATGCCAAGCAGTACAGTATGCCGTTTCCAAATTTCTAGCAGAGGGAATTGCCTCATAGTGCTCTTTCTCTTACAGATGATAGTTTTTTTTCTTAATTCACTTTTGTCACCAAAATGGTCAGTAGATGGCAAATAAAAAAATAAATGCAGCTATTCGAACTATCTGTTGTCCTCATCTTTATTGTCACATTCACAACATTTCGGCAATTGTACAATCCAGCTTTCTTCAGGTGATTGGAATTTTGAACTGAACTCTTTATTTTGTCCGCAGGGATAGTGGATAAAAGCATTGGTTGGATCCAGTGACTTGACCCAAAGAGTTGTGAGTTCAATACCTGGCTATTGGAGTGTTGAACAAAATCCTGGAGAATTGAGGGAGACAACTAAGAGATCTGGAAGAGGCATGGCATGTGGAAATAGAACAATCTATCCCAATACACAAAATTAAACGTACAGTTCAAAATTCCATTCCCCTGAAGAACACTGGAGTGTATAATGGTAGAAACATTGTGAATATGACATAGTGCTCTTTCTCTCATAGATGATCCTCAACTGAACCTATTTCTGTGCAGATGACAAAATTAAAAACAAAAACACACATGCATGGAATTAAAAACATAATATGCAACAATTTACCCACTGCACACTTTATATTTGAAATACATAATATATGTGTGGATGTAACATTAGATTGCTTGCTTTTAATTCGCATTATACCTAATACCATGAATGAGGTGTGTCTTCATATGTAATGGGCATTGTGTTTTGGTATGCAAGGGGAGGCAACCTAAAGAAATTTAGGAACCCCTGCACAAGATTATCAAGAGACCCAACGCCAGAATATGGCCAAGATGACACAGAAATAATAATAAACCATGGCATACAAAGAAAAAAAGCTGAAACCATTAATAGACGAGACAGAGTGGGAAATGATGGTAAAAAAATTAATATCACTTGTTATCAACAATGAATGGATAAAAGCAAAGAAAGAACCAGAAATAAGATCAACGTCTCCTATGACTGATCGGCAGAGGAGTGAACCCTTCTGCCAGCATTCTTTATTTGTTGCCTGGCAGTATCCACAAAATGGGGAAGTACTTAGTGAATATTTTCACAGTGTTAAATAATAGTTCATCAGACTATTACTTTTAAAGGGAAGTGTATCTTGGTTCTGACTTCTGGAGGTTGAGCTTCAGAGTCAGATGTAAGACATAATAAGGAAGTTGATTTTGATTGGTTGAGCTAGCATGGGAAAAAGATAGGAGAAAGATTTTAGTGAGTTGTTTCTTACCCAACAAGAGTTGTAGACATGTTCATTTTCATATCCAAAATAGCTCCCCAGCATGAAACCCCACCCCCACTGGATAGTTAGATAATGTACATGTTGATATGATTAATAAAAATAGTTAAAATTCTCATTAGAACAATTGCCATGAAAATATTTATAAAAAAGATGGAAGGAAGCCATGTCATGACAGTGCAAAAGTGACTGACAAAGATAAATACTTTGCAAACAGAAAAGAGAAGGGAAGAAAAATTTTGTGTACAGTGACTATGTATTAATGAAACAAATAAAATAGAACAAATGACTAACACCATATGACGTAGCATAATAACAGAAATCAAAGATCATAAATCGTGTATTATTGATGGAACGTAGATAATTGGAGATATCAGAAAATTTAAACTTGATAATCAAATCATAGATTCAAAAGAGGATTATGTAGATGACACTGGTAGTAATAAAGTGATTAATAAAAACCCAAGAATGCTTATTGATACGAGTCATAATGAAATATGATTAATACTAATACTAGAAGCAACAATTATGAGCATTACTAATTTAACATCAAATATAGACAAGACCAATCTACCAACAACAGATGAGACTAATTCAATGACAATAGATGATACCAAACCAAGCAGACCAAAAAGAATAAGAACAACACTAAAATACTTACAAGACTAAATAATGTGATAAACTATAACAGGAAAAAAATATAAGAACTTAAATTCAATATTAAAGAATTTACCTTTTCCGAAACTTAGAAGAAATCTTATGATCTGATTAGCACAGGCAGACATCTGTTTGGTCAATTTCAGATTTGCAACCGTGGCATCACACAGTCACAAGTTACACCCAAAGATACAATATCAAATCTTATATAATAATAAAGAATTTAATTTCACTCTATTGAATGATACTGACTTGTTTTTTTTCATGCTCTAGAGTACCTCATATGATGACGATAAGGGTTGCATAAAAGATTCATAAAATTGGAGAATTTAAATCATAAAGTTTTTAGGTAAAGAGGAACCCCAGTTACAGAATATCTGCTCTGAATTGTAAAATAAAAAATTCAATAAAACTCAGACATTATTTAATTAGAAAAGCTTTTAATTAATTTTAAAATCAAGAACTATCAGCTATAACTAAATGATTTCTACAACCTGTCATTAGATTAAAAACATCTTTTCAAGTTTCTATCATTTAATTATTTTAATAGGCTATTTTATGGCAAGATAAAGAAACAAACATTGTAATGCGATATTTTTTTTTTTGTTGAATATCATTATAAATATTTCTTTATTAGAAAAAAAATTTGTTCATGATGAGACAGGATTTTCTTTTAGTTCTTTTATCAATGTGTCTTGGGATTATAGACTTGTTTATCATAACTTTTATTTTATTAACTGTGACAAACTAGTGAAGAATGAGAAAGAACACAGATTTTCTGCTAAAGTTGTCAAGTGAAGATTTATATGAAGATTTAGATTGACTCTTTATTGCTTAAGGTTGGAGTGCATAAATATAGAAATTGTGTGTCAAAACAGATCTGGGCAAAAAAGAAACATGGCCACCAACAAGAATTAAAACTAAAAATATATGAAGATTTAAATTGGCTCTTTTATTGCTTAAGTTTGGGGTGCTGAAATGTATAAATGGGTAAAAAAAACAACAGGAAGACACACAAATCAAAGCTAAATCTTGATGATCATTTGGATTGACTCTTTTCTTATTTACAAATGTCCTTTAGCTGTTAACGGTGTTCAATTTTGAGCCAGATTCCATTTTTTGGCTTAAGTAATCCTGATGCAGCAAATTCAATCTTCTTCTGCAATGAAAAAAGGAAACAAAGAATTTGGAAAAGAAAAATAATAATATAGCTAGCAATTTATCATTGTTTCATCTTTTCTATGAATTTACAATAAAAAAAACAATCAACTGAGAGAGACAATAAAGAAACACACCTAAAACAAAAGCTGAAATAAAAAATCAGTATCAGGTTTTAGATAGTCTTTTTCATGGCTTAAATACAAAATGAATAAATATACAAATCAAATGAATCAATCCCAAGTTACAAGAGGAAAAGAGTTCAGCAGATATACAAATATAGAAGCAGGTGTAAGACAATAACATCTTATTGCACCTGACAGGTAAAAAGTTTATAATTTTTTTTTATTTTTATTGCAAGACTTTAATTTTATTGAAACTCCGAGGTTGTCATTTTATTGCAATTCTCAGCATATAATTTTATTGCACATCTCAAAATGATGTTTTTTTTGCACCTGACAGCCTGCCATTTTATCGCCCCCATGACAGCCTGCCATTTTATCGCACCTGACAGCCTGCCATTTTTTTCAGACAGTCATTCTTTCTGATGGGATAAAAATCATAAGAGAACTTCATTATCTCAGATTTTTTAACAAAACAAATTTTTTTCTCTTTAATTCAGAAGTTTTTAAGAGTAATTTTTAAAAATTCAATAGTTCTAGCCCATTTCTCTTGGGGGCAACTATTATTAATCTCAAGGGTTTATCATAACTCCAAAATTTCACCAAGTATTTTCATCAATGCTAAAACATAGATTGACCTACAATCCCAAAGAGAGGACATAGGCATATAGTCAGAGAAATACTTCTCATGTGCAAATATATGTCTGAACACTTCATGTAATTCAAAGGACCAATGGGTTAATGAAATCACTCAAATTTATTTCTCAGCCCCCCTAATCTTGTGCCTCTGAGGGAGGTTAAGAAGTTGGCAACTCAGAGTAGAGTAGACATACTCACCTTGGGAAGATTGGTCCTTTGTTTGCTAACAATCAAAGATCATTCTTAGTGTTACTCATGGTCTTTTGGTATATTGACCCCAAAGAGACACAAATAAGAAAACTTACTGCCTACTCCTTTTGATATGTTTACTCTCTATGTCAAACATGATAAAAACTGATTACAATCCCAGTATTTAGAAAGACTTTTTGCATTATTTTATTTTTGTATATCAATTGATTGAATATACAATTATAAATCAATATTGACAAAAGGATTCACTTAAAGGAAGTGATAATATATATCTAAATATAAAGATGTCCAAGTATAGGATTGGTGTTATTGGAATAAATTCCAATAACCAAAAAATACTATTCTTAAAAGAGTGCTCAACATTCAACACCATCATTTGATAAGACACCAGAAGTGTTGAAACAAAATGACTATTTTTGTAGTGATTTTATAACATATTTATGTCATAATTTTCAAATAAATCAAATATGTATTTAAATGTATGCAAATATATATATATATAATAATATATATATATATGTATGTATGTAAATATAAAGATTCAGAAATTAACAGGCCAATTTCCACTAAATCTGGTTTTCAAAATGCTTGTCTATTAAAATATGAAGATTCAAGTCACAAAATATGTTTACTTTATGAAGAAAAAAAAAACATTTTTGAAGGCTCAGTTTGGCATTTGCTAGTCAAAAACAAAATGGAAAATAGATTCTTCTAAAGTGAAATTTTTCAACACTGAATTCAACAAAATATTTACATTTTTTTTTAGTTCTGCTACTTTTTGATTTAAGCAAATTATTGTCAAATATTGGTAAAATAACATTCACTCGTAAATATTGGTAAAATAACCTTCACTCATAAAGAATAAACTTTGGAAAGTTAGGCAATACTAAATAACTGTTAATAACCTTTTTAGATAAAAGGGGAAAAGAATTAAAATGATAAAAATAAATCTTTTGACAATTGAGAATTTACTTTTTACAACCCTATACCAAGTTTGTATTTCGTATGAAGATGATCAGTGAAGATTAAGAATACTTACTTCAGTTTTGTCACAAACAACAAGACGGAATTTCCTCAGCATTTGTACAACAGCCATCTTGAATTCAAGATCTGCCAATCGCATTCCAGCACAGATTCGTGGCCCACCACCAAAAGGAAGATAAGTGAAGGGTATTTGTTTGGCTTTGTTTTCCTCACTGAAGCTGTAATGACAAAAATATTCATCATATTTATGAAAGCCTTTGTTGATTCTTCATTAGAGGAAATGTTTTTTGCTCTTTTAAAAAAAATATTGTCAGTTTTTTTAACTAAATGTCACAAAGAATCATGAGAAATCTTTCAATGAAATAGTTGTTTTAATTTGAATTGCCTTCAACACACTTTAGATATTTCATAGACGTTGAATTTAGCCATAGAATTAAAGGCATTGTTTCATTTTTTATAATTTACTGATTGTGAACATTCACCAAAGATGTTTCAGGTAAATATACTTTGATTTTTTTAGCATGAAAACATTTTTATATATTTACAAAAATCTATTTAATTAATTTATTGAACGATAGGAGAATGAAAGAAAAAACATCAAGGATGACTTTTAATTTCATTGACTAGGTCCTCTACATAGATTGCAATCCTCTCCCCATCAAGATGAGGAAAGGATACCCAGACACCAGCCAAGGCATTATTAACCCTGAATAGAATACCTGAATGCGAAGGGTTTGATATTTTCAAAGATTTCATAAAGACTCAAGGTAACATGACTGACGACATGTTAAGGTGCATCAAGGGTGATCATTTGGTAGATGAAGAACGGCTTTCTTTGGCTCTCTTTCGTATATAAAGAACAACATTTAATGTACTGTATTTTTTGTTAAATTAATTATAGTGGCATAATTCAAATCTATTTATGTCTAAGTGTAACATTTATTTATCTGTTGTTGTTTTTTTGAAAGTTGTTGTAATTTTGGAATTAGAAAAAGCATTTTTGTTTATCTTTGACTAGTGGCTCATTATCACTGATTTCTTTATCTATTATTATTTATATTCAAAGATTATTTTAATAACATTTGATATGAATTTTAATCCTTTACATTTTCTTATTTATTAATTGAAAAGTAACGTAATTTCAATTTTGCTGAAAAAGCATTCCTAGTTATAACGTTATTTTGTTTCGTTTTAACTACTAGTAAACTTTTGTATTATCATATATCTTTCAAATATTTTAAAAATAACAATAATAATAATAATAATAATAATTATTAATAATTGTAATAATAATAATAATAATAATAAAATATTCTCATATAATTGATAATAATTTTATATGTTATTATTATTATTATTTTAAAAATATAGCGATATATTGGCACATTGATGACGATCTGTTTACTCCAACATCCAGTGTAAAATATATATATATATATATAGCCCGCGGAGCTATGTAAAGTACTAGGTTGAAAACCGGAGCGGGCTAGCTGCCCTTTATGAGGGTGAAAGGAGTCTTTCTGAGCTTTGGTTAGCAATCCTTTTAGTGTTGGTTTCATGATAAAAACTTCAGATAGGAAGGAAAACTCATGATAAAAAAAACTCTGCCGAGACGCGTGTACTGGCTGGTATTGACTGTGATCCAGAGAGTTAAACTCCACGATAATAACACATGAGGACTGTTGTTTGGAGTTTCCATGGCCAGTCTTTTGCAACTTTTACTTTTTATCAACAGATCCAAAAAGTGTGGATGGTCCAACACAAGACTTCACCCCTTGAAAGAAATCATTGTGTTGGTTTTCTGACAACTACATCTAATTAGTTCCACACATATCTGATTACTGTGAAAAACTCTACAAAACAACATCAACTTCATCTTGGCACTTGCAATGTACGAACTCTCCAGGACAGCATTAATATTGAATATACAAGTTAGCTACTTGACATTTATTCACTCCACCCGAAAATCTGAATGTCTATTGTTTAACCAATAAGTGTTAGGATTAAAGAAATTGACAATGATTTGAAACTAGAGTTTTTTAACAATTCCAGGTTACTTGTATCACCACTTAGTTGTTTAATACTCACTGTTCAGGATCAAACTTTTCCGGTTCAGTCCAATATCTTGGATCATAATGTAAACACATGATTGGAAACAGGACTGCTGTATCCTTGGGAATTTTCATTCCCTTCACAATGCAGTCTTCTTTTGATTCCCTTGACAACCTGACAAAGAAAAACAATAATATTTGTTATGATTAAATCTAATTTCTCTCACTGAAAGAAATTTATAAATGATTGTAGTTAAGACAAAGGTCAAAAGGTTAGAGTAATACTGAATCATAAAAGTTTGATTAGGTAGAGAAAATATTCTTAAATGTACATGTTATTGTTATAGTGGAACACACCTATTCTATAGTTAATAGACTCTCCCACCTATAATAAGTAGTAGTAGTAGTAGTAATAGTCGCTGTGGGAGTTGGTCAGTCAGTCAATGCCAGACAACTGTTAGTCGAATATTGCGTTATACTTATTATATCAAGTTCCTAACGTTTTGTACGTCGAACCTATTTTAGGAGTGACTTAGTACAGATACAAGATTTCACTGTGAAACTACTCTAAAACAGTTATATAAATGTAATTGTACAGCATGTAATAAATCTTCACTTTATACATATAGAGAACATAGAAACAAGCACATTATCCTGAACAAACACACACACTATTCACACTGAACGCATGCACAAACACAAAGTTAATTTTATAAGTCATCACATATTTTCCAAAATGAAATTCAAAGGCTGTTACTTCAGAAATTCAAAATTGATTGGCTTCTTTTTCCTGGTCTGAAGCAATTACAGTGTTTATATTTAATTTTAGATTTTGGTTCTGAAGCCCATACACTTCATATTTTACAGAGAACATCAGAAGTGGTCTAAATTTGGTTTGCTCTTTTTGTTAGTGTACCAGGTTGGCAGTTTACTTGTTGTTGCATCCAACTGGTAGTAACTATCTTGAGCTCTTTGGTAGCAATCAGAGAGGTTGATCGCATCAGCAGTTGTATAACATTGGGTATTTGCAGTGCCATGATATGCATAGACAGATGTCGCTGCATGTTTTTATGGTAAGCAACCCTGAGGCCACAGGATTTACTTTTAGATATTTTCTGGCCATAGACAATGGACAGTGAATTATATTAGCCTTTTTCTTTTTAAAAGAAAATCTTATGACATATGCAGTGAAAAAAGAAATACAAGTAAAAAAAAAATCACCTAACCACCACTCAACCTTTCTTTCTCCAATGTTTGTCGTATTCATCCCATTTTTGGTAGTATAGAATTTTTTCTCTTGAAATCTTCTCCAGACATCTTCACACTTTTCGAAATTTTTAAAATTTTTCTATTGTTACCATTGAATTCTCTATTCCAGGCTATCTTCCTTTTTTGTCAAAAACTTACTAGGATACATATGAATGGTAATGGTATCTACATCTGGAAAAATCTTCCAAATGCAAGAGAATTCACTCTTAAGTCCCAGACAACTTCTTCGTGTTCTTTCAATTTTCATTATTGCACTTTGTTAGCTATCTCTTTTGGCTTTATTGCTTTCTTTCTCAGGACTGTAACATATTAGACAAAATTTCTGACAATATAGAAATGGCTCTCCCTCCATACATTCATCTACAAACATTTTTGTGTTTCATGATTTTAATGCTCATCATATCAAGTATCTGAAACCTTCAAATATTATTGATGTTGATGGTATTCAGGCTTTAAGTTTTTTCCATTGCTCAGTCTGTCAGTCAACTAGTGGAGTCCTCTATTCGTTTCCATAATAAATCTGATCAGTACTCTTCTTTATTTGATTTGTTCTTTACCTCCTCTCCTCGCACTTCTCAAGCATCAGAATTATGCCCTCTTAGCAATTTGGCTCATGTTGTAGTATATGTAAAGTGTTTTGGATCATCTGTTAGAAAGAAACCTCCTATTCAAAAGAATTCTTTCTGTTACCAGTGTACTGATTGGGATTTATTTCATAACTATTCTAGATGCCCCTTGGATTGATATTCATAAATTTCTTATTCAGAATTGGGTCACACATGTTTCTCTTGAGTTAAAACCAGCATAGATACTTTTGTACCTTCTCAGAAATATTATGTTAAAGCAGAATCTCTTCTTTTTGATTATCAAAGACCTGTTCAGCTGCTATAGCCCACAGGAATTACTTTCCAGCAGAATCAGCATGATAGTTCCAATTTCCAATAGATATCTCTTTGTGTCTGCTTGTAATAATTGCAAACATGTTCTCAAAGAGGTTAAGTTTTTGTTTGCTGATATAATGACACATTCTATTTAACGACTTTGGTTCTCATTATTTTTGGCATGTAACAGTGTTAAATATGAGTAAGTCTTCTACCCATCGTCTCTTGTTTCAGTTTGAAGTGTTAATATCTTCTGCTGATAAAGCAGAATGTCCTGCTTGTAAATTCCCTTCAAATTCTACTCTTGACTCATCTGGAGTATCTTTTCCTGACTTTCCACTTAGAACTCAATCTCTATTGAGGGATATATATATATATATAACTCTGTCCATGCTTTCTGCTATGATCTCTAAACTTGACCCCTCAAAGCATGTGAACTTCATCATATCCCTGCAATAGTTCTTAAGAAATGTGCTCCTGAACTGGCTCCTGTTCTCACTAAACTCTCTACAATAAATGCCTTACTGCTCCTTGCTTTCCCATTTGTTCCAATCTTTAAAAACTCAAGGTGATTCTTCCATTGGCCTATTAGACTTCTACCTCTTGTTGATAAATTATTAGAATAACCCTGAATTGCTTATCTGAAAGCCATATTACTTATCTCACAGGGTCTTCTTTCAGAGAAGCAATATGGCTTTTGCTTCTCTAGATCAAGTGCTGATGTGTTAAAGATTATTGCTGTAAGAGTCTGTCAATCTTTAGATAAAAATCTTGTTGTTACTTTGGATATATCAAAGGCATCTGACACAGTTTGGCATACTGTTCTTCTTTACAAATCAAAAGGTTATGATATTTTTGAGCAAATGTTTTTAACTAATTCAGTCTTTAAAAAAAATACAAAATGAACGTTGTCTTGAATGGCCACTCTTCTATATCCTTTTGCATAAATGCAGGTGTGCCCCAGGGTTCTATCCTTGGACCTATGTTGTTTCTAATTTTGATCAATGACCTTCCTCACGTCATCAGTTCTCAACTTGGTATCTATGTTGATGATACAACTATTTATTTCTCTCTTAATTGTAAGTCTGATCAGTTTGATAAGGTTGATTTGGCAGTTGATCTAAAAATAATGTCTTACAATCTGTTGTTAAATGGGGTAAAAGTGTGGCTTGTTAATTCTAACACTTCAAAAAAGTAACAGTTCTCTATTGTCTGAGAGAACCCTTTTTGATTTCCATCAGCATGGCTGATGCTAACCTTCAGGAGAGTCACTCATTGTGCCTTCTTGGATTAATATTTTCAATTGACATGAAATGAAAAGAGTAGATTGAACCAATTGCTAAATCTGAAGCTAAGAAAGTTGGTTCACTATGTCATGCTAGGATGTTTTTTTCATCAGAATCTATCTTACATATTTATAAGTCTACCATTCAGCCATGCTTTGAATATTGCTGCCACATCTGGTCTGGTGCTCTTACTATATATTTAGAGATTCTTGATAAAATCCAAAGAAGAATCTGCAATGTTATTGGTCCTCACCTCACATCTTGGCTTCAGTCTGTTTCACACTGCTATAATATAGCTACCCTGTGCTTTTCTATAAATACTTTTATGGTAATTGTTCTGATGAACTCTCTTCTGTGGTGTCTAGACCTTACAAATTTAAGCACAGTACTAGATTGGCAGCAAGGTTTCATCAATTTACAGTTGAATTTGCTAGATGTAACCGTAAGTTCTATGTTAACGGCTTCTTCTATCATACTTCTCATGCTTGTAGAACTCTCTTCTGGTTTCTTGCTTTCCAGTCAATTTTGATCTTCAAAAATTTAAATGCAATGTCAGTTATTATCTTCCTAATTCTTACTCTTTTATTGTCCTCTCTCCTTAATAGTAGGGTTTTTTCTCATATTCTCCAACAGTTACATTCTAGTGTCTTTATTGCCTTGCTTGGGGTGAAATAATTAAAACAAAATTCCATGTATCTTGCACAATAAATGTAACATGCTGTTTGACAAACATTCAGTCCTTTTGGTAGTGAGATTCAAAAGGGCACGGGCCTGAGCAGTGGTATGTGGAGGCCCTGCCCTGGCCTAACTACATGGCGCCCTTCTTTTGGTTGTACCAACACGACCCAAAGGAATACAGGGAAAAATATTTGGGGATGGCTTGGCTGGAAGGTTGTCAGTATTGAGAGCTAAACACATTAAGGGCTCACACCAAATTTTCTGTTTGGATTTACATCCATAGCCTTTGTTGTGTTTAGATATGACCTCAAAGCAGTGAACTTTTCAAATCAGTGTTTTTCTTCCCTTAGATGAACTGCCTTCCCAGGTTAATGAACTCCACCTACCTGAAGCATCTTTTGTTCGTTAGACATTAAATTAAATCACTTAATATCCTTCATAATTTATCTTAACATTTTAGTTAGCCTTGTGTGTATTTATAAGCCTTCTTAAATTTAAAAATTTTGAAAAACTAATGACATTTTGCTTTTGATATCCCTGTTGGAAAATAAAATCATTACATTTGCCTTGATGAAGTCAATCAGAGGATGAAATGCATTGTCTAAGATAAGTTTTCATTTTGTCTTTATTCATATTGTCCTTTTACAGATATATTTTTAGTTGTATCTGAAATTTTAACCCCCCCACAACACACACACACATACATATGTATATATATATATATATATATATATATATATATATATATATATATATATATACACACACACACACACACAGAGGGTCCAATGGATGAATTGTTTACATGACACAAAAATGAAAAAATAACACTGATATCTCACTTTTACAGATATATTTATCAAAATTATGCAAAAATATCTTTGAAGACTAGAGTAAATTTATTCAATAAAATCACCATTGGCTTCAACCATGGCCTCTAGGTGAGTTAAAAATTTCCTGCAACACTTCTGAATGGTCTCCTTGATTAAGTTGGTGAATGCTTCAATAATCCTTGCCTTCAGTTCATATTTGGTGTTACAAGGAGTTTTGTTGGTCTCTTGATCAACTGCACCCCATACATAATAATCAAGGGGATTGCTGTTTGGGGAGTCAGGTGGCTGATGAAAGGGGTGATGTGGTGAGAGAAATTGTCTGACAGCCATGATTGGGTTCTCCTGCTTGTGGGGCACTGTTCGAAGTCCTGTTGCCAGACATAGGTTCTTTCAGCATCCACCCACTTGACCAAGGGCAACAATACCCCATCAAGGCACTTGTTGTAGGTCTCCATATTGACACTGAGAACCTCACCAATAAATTCAGGAGTTCTTGTTTTATCAGAATGATCAGAGTGAGTTTTCCAAGCTGCCATACTTTTCTAATCATCATTAGACTCATCCAACTCTTTTCTCTGCACTGTCCAAAATTGATACTCAAAAACTCTGAGATGTTCTTATTGGGGCAATACAAACAGTACGGCATGCCGTTTCCAAATTTCTGGTTGGGTGAATTGTGTCATGATGCACATTTTCTCACATACGGTGCCCAACTGACCCTACTATACTGTGCAGTTGACAAAATAAAAAAAACAAACAACATGCATAGAGCAAAATTAAAATATAAAATGGCAATAATTTAGCTATTTCATTCTGTATATATATATATATATATATATATATATATATATATATATATATATATATAGGTACTTCCAAAATGTCTTCTAAGAAAGTGCATAGCATAATGAAAAAGGCATCAAACTTGATAAAAACAAAGTTTTATCATCAAAATGTTCCCTATTATTAATAGGAAAGACTAAACTCTTTCCTATTACTAAGAGAAAAGACTAAAGTATTTTTTGATTTTTTTATAAAATTTTTTAATCCTTTCCAGCCCATTCAAATTTCTAGTTAAAAATCTTGGTTTTCTTGTGTCAGCAGATGGAACGAAGATTAATATGGAAAATTTAGCCTCTTTTTTGAAGTAAAAAGCATTGTTTTGAAAATTCTTGAAAAATCAAATAATTGTTGGATCTTAATTAAGTTTTCAGGATTTATTTCATATTTAACTAAATTGATTCTTCTAAACAATGTTTCCAAAATAAATTTCACTTTCCTTAACAGTGATTTCAGTTTTTGTTTAAGGAATTTTTTGAGATTTTCAACTTGTTTGAACTGCTGACTAATCTAGGAATGCTACATGGAGTAAGATTAGTAATGGTCAAAAGACAAGAAGATCTTAAGAAGATGCTGTATGTGAAAGAAATTCCAATTGCAACACCAGAATTAAATCCTTTGCCATATTTAGAACATGCAGACTTATTCAAGCAAAGAAACCTGCAGACTATTATACCAAAAGAAATTCTCTTCTTTCTATATGACATGCAAATGATTGATTATTATCATATCGAGATAATGGTTTATAACCAAAATATTTTCCTGAGAGTTCTTACATTTCAAAAATAGTTGAATGCAAGTAAATTTCACAAAACTTACACCGTAGCTATTGGATACATCCTCAATGTCTCAGCCATACACATATCAAGATAGGTCAGCTTCTGCACGTTATCATAATTTGGAGATTCCTAGAAAAAGACAGAAATATCAATCTACCTGTAAATTTTATTTCCTTATTGAAGGGTTATTTTGTTCCAAGCAACAGTGGGTCACCTTGCCACTATAAACAAATATTTAATGAGATGGTTGTGATTAAAATAAACTGTAACTATACAAGTTATTTGGGGGATTTGAATTGTTGATTGATTAAGAAACATCCAATTTGGGCTATAAATATTGATAAGGTTTTAGTGCATCTTTAGACATAGGGAAAATTCATTGATAATCAGGATAATCTTTATAAAATCAGGAAATTCTATAAAAAGCCTGATTCTTTAATTTGGAAAAGCATTTCTTGAAATGGAGAGAAGGATAGAAAACAAATGACATCCAAATTCTGAAGATTTCATACAGTTTTAGTGCAACTTTAAACATTGGGAAAATTCATTGATAATCAAGGAAATCTATTAACATTGGGAAATTCTATAAATGAAATCTTGATTCTTTAATTTGGAAATGGATCTCTTGAAATATTGGTCTATAAGTATTGATAAGGTTTTAACATGGCTTTACACATTAATTTATTCATTGGGTTAGAAATTCAGTCATAATCAGGTGAATTTGTTAAAATCAGAAAATTCTATAAATAAAATCCTGATTCTTTAATTAGAAGAAGGATCTCTTGAAATATTTAGTCTCTTAGTATTGTTAAGGTTTAATGCAACTTTAGACATTGGCAAAATTCATTAATAAACTTTCTTCTTCTTTCCTTGATTTGTTCCTTACCTCCTCTCCAAGCTCTTGTTGAGCATCACAATTCTGTCCTCTTGTCAATTCAGATCTCACTGCAGTATCTAAAGACATTTCTTTCGAGCTGTCTATTAAAAAAGAACCTCCCATTCACAAGATATATTCCTGTCAGCATCATTGATTGGGATTAATTTTGTCACTTTATTCAAGATGACCCATTGGATTGATATTCTTAATTCTCCTATTGAGAATTGTGCTACAGAGGTTAAAGCTGGCAATGATGCTTTTGTACATTCTCACAAATACAATGATGCCGCCATCTTCTCCTTGGTTCACACCAGCCTATTCATGCATTATAGCCCACAGGAATCAACATTTTTAGGTGTACAAGTGTCATGATTCCGATCACAACAGACACTTATTCATGACGGCTTAAAATACCTATAAACATGTACTAAACTTTGTTTGCTGTATAGCCTGCAGTTCCCACCTGTGTAACTCCTTTTCGTTGAAATAGTTAAATGTAACTTCCACTACTACTCCAACAGTTTCTTTTCTTGCAGTTCCTGTCTGTGGAACTCCCTTTCATTTATTTACTTCCCTGATAACTACAATCTTCAAAAATATTTAAATGCAACATCAATCTATCTTGTTGAATCTTGTTCATCTTTTATCCTTTTCTCAATCCCCAATAGACCTAATCTTTTCTCTCACCTTCACTCTCTGTAACCACCACTGCATACTAGTGGCATTCCTGCCTTGATTGGGGTGAAATGATTACAAAATAATTCCATCCATGCTTTCTGCTATCATCTCTAAATTGAATCCCAATAAAGCATGTTAACTTGATGTTATCCCTGTAATAGACCTTAAGAAATGTGTGCCTGTTCTCTCTAAACTCTAAAATAAATGCTTTGCTTCTTCTTGTTTTCCTGCTTGTTGGAAATTTCTTTTCTGGTGTTCCAGTCTTTAAGAAACATCTGATAATTTTAACTATCAGCCTAGTAGCCTTCTATCTCTTTTTGGCAAAGTACAATAGACTTTCTTATCAAATTGCGAAATGAAAGTTATCTTGAATGGCCACTCTTCTAGATCTTTTTGCATTAATGCAGATGTTCTCCAGTGATTTATCTTTTGACATATGTTGTTCCTAATTTTTATAAATGACCTTCCTGATGTTATCAGTTCTCAACTTGGTATCTGTGTTGATGATACAACTATTTACTCCTGTTATTTATCCAATCAAACTTACTATTAGTAAGTTTGAGTGGTTAAATAACATCAAATTTCCAGTTGACCTCAAAAATGACCAACAATCTGTTGTAAAATGGAGCAAGAGTCGCTTGTTAATTTTAATACCTCCAAAATGAAACTGAACTCTCTTATAAGTCTACCATTCATCCTTGCTTTGAATATTGCTGCTACATCTGTTCTGGTGCTCCTGTTATATATTTAGAGATTCTTGATAAAATCTAAAGAAGAATCTGCAATGTCATTGGTCCTGACCTGGCATCTCAAATTATGTCACTTTCCTGCAGTCATAATGTAGCTTCCCTGTCTCATGATTTTACAGCTGAAATGGTTAGATATAGCCATAAGTTCTATTCTAACAGTTTCTTCTATTGCAATTCTCTCTTCTTGTGGAGCACTCTTCAAAAATTTAAATTCAGTGTCAATTATTAGCTTCTGTTGTCTTAATTCTTGTTCTTTTATTGTTCTTTGTCCTTAATACTATATTTTCTCATATTCTCTAACACCTAGTAACCTCTTGCATCTTAGTGTCTTTATTGCCTTTCTCAGGGTGTAAATAAAAAAAAAACCAATAAAATCTAGATTCTTCAATTTGGAAAATGAGCTCTGGAAATACAGAAAAACATAAAAAACACATGCAAGTTTGAAAGAACTCAGATTTGGATAATTAAAAGATTTGACCTGTCCAAGTTTTTCTTCTATCTCTTGGTAAAGTTTCTCTTGAACATCCGGGTTCATTGCTATAGAGTGAGCAAAATAGGACAGAGTGCCTGCTGTCGTCTCAAAGCCAGCAATAAAAATGACCATGCATTGTGCAATGATTTCTAAATCTGTAAGACCTGCAAAGAAACAAAGTTCAATAAAACCTTATTAAATGATATTAACAAGAATTTTTATAATGGTAAACTGTTGAAAATAATCTAGTTTAACTGGTAAAGGTTTCACTTTCTATCACATTAAATGAGAAATGAAAATCTCATTTATCCCATTCAACTCATTCATGGCATTTAGGTTGTTTAAAAATTATTAAAGATCTGAAAAATGAATTTGTAGCATGTTTTCATGTATATGAATCATATATTGTTGATATTAAATAATGTTCAGATAAAATCAGGTCACCTTGCCAGTGAAGTATATTTAATGATAACGAAATGGCTTTTACCTCTTTTTGTTCTCCAGTCTGTAATATTTTCTAGTTTGAGTTCTTCTTCAGTTTTCTTGTCTAACTTTTCATGGCCTTCAAGTTGAGCATCTAACATCAGCTGTAGTAGATTTTTACGTGCCTGCAATTTTAAATGACACAAACACAACTAAGTCAAAAAATGAATTTCCTAAACTTTCGTGATGTCATCACCTTCTATTTCAGCATGTCCCAGTGGAAATAGCACTTACATAATGAAAGCTAAACTCTTTTGTTTTGGGAGATAAAAATGTCCATGAATTAATCAAGAAACTTTTAGTAAATATTCACTTGGTATAAAATGATAATTTATTCCCATAAAGTTTCCAAATATTCACCACAGTTCAAGGATATTTTCTATTTTTGCACAAAGGATACTTACACTCTGATTTTTCTCTTTCTTTCTTTCTTCAAGCAATTCTGTGCAAAAATCAAGAAAGTAACGCATATTCCCAAATATCATTCCAGGTTTGAACTTGTTGAAAAGTTTAGCGAGTATTGGAAAAATAACTGTAATTGAATGAAATAATTGAGAGATTAAAGGCGGTCATTTTTACAGGATGATGAATAAAAGCATGAGAAGATCTAAAAGCCATAGAAAGTTTTATATGAAGAAATATTTTGATCTTGATTTTGGTGAGACGAACATAACAGACATGAGAAAGGATTTTTCATAATGTCCTTTTATTTCAGAAGACTTTTGATTTTTAAAAAATTTCAAAGAATCTCCACTCACTTTTGTTATCTTTTAGCAAACGTACAATTAAGATGAATCAATAGGATAAAAGAAGAAAAGGGAGGGTTGTAAATCCCATGACAAAGTCATCATGAACACCTTGCAGATCTCTTTCTATTATGGATCAATAGGATAAAAGAAGAAAAGGGAAGATTGTAAATCATAGGACAAAGTCATCATGAACACCTTGCAGATCTCTGTCCATGATGGATTACCAGGATAAAAGCAGAAAAGGGAAGATTGTAAATCACATGACAAAGTCATCATGAACACCTTGCAGATCTCTTTTTATTATGGATCAATAGGATAAAAGAAGAAAAGGGAAGATTGTAAATCATAGGATAAAGTCATCATGAACACCTTGCAGATCTCTTTCCATGATGGATCAATAAGATAAAAAGAAGAAATGGGAAGGTTGTAAATCAACTGACAAAGTCATAATGAACAGCTTGCAGATCTCTTTCTATTATGGATCAATAGGATAAAAGAAGAAATGGGAAGATTGTAAATCATAGGATAAAGTCATCATGAACACCTTGCTGATCTCTTTCTATAATTAATCAATAGGATAAAAGAAGAAAAGGGAAGGTTGTAAATCACATGACAAAGTCATCATGAACAACTTGCAGATCTCTTTCTATGATGGATCAATATGATAAAAGAAGAAAAGGGAATGTTGTAAATCACCTGACAAAGTCATAATGAACACCTTGCAGATCTCTTTCTATTATGGATCAATAGGATAAAAGAAGAAAAGGGAAGGTTGTAAATCACATGACAAAGTCATAATGAACACCTTGCAGATCTCTTTCTATGATGGATCAATAGGATAAAAAAAGAAAAGGGAAGGTTGTAAATCACATGACAAATTCATCATGAACACCTTGCAGATCTCTTTCTATGATGGATCAATAGGATAAAAGAAGAAAAGGGAAGATTGTAAATCACATGACAAAGTCATCATGAACACCTTGCAGATCTCTTTCTATGATGGATCAATATGATAAAAGAAGAAAAGGGAAGGTTGTAAATCACATGACAAAGTCATCATGAACACCTTGCAGATCTCTTTCTATGATGGATCAATATGATAAAATGGATCAATATGATAAAAGAAGAAAAGAAAAAAGTCATTTCTGGTTTTATGGAAATCATGGGAAGATTGGTAAATCATGGATCAATATGATAAAAAAAAATCATTGAAAATCCTCATGCAAATCTCTTTCTATTTCTATGGATCAATATGATAAAAGAAGAAAAGGGAAGGTTGTAAATCACATGACAAAGTCATCATGAACACCTTGCAGACCTCTTTCTATGATGGATCAATAGGATAAAAAAGAAAAGGGAAGGTTGTAAATCACATGACAAAGTCATAATGAACACCTTTTGCAGATCTCTTTCTATGATGGATCAATAGGATAAAAGAAGAAAAGGGAAGATTGTAAATCACATGACAAAGTCATAATGAACACCTTGCAGACCTCTTTCTATGATGGATCAATAGGATAAAAGAAGAAAAGGGAAGGTTGTAAATCACATGACAAAGTCATCATGAACACCTTGCAGATCTCTTTCTATGATGGATCAATAGGATAAAAGAAGAAAAGGGAAGGTTGTAAATCACATGACAAAGTCATAATGAACACGTTGCAGATCTCTTTCTTTCTATTAATGGATCAATAGGATAAAAATCAAGAAAAGTCATCAGGGAAGATTGATAAAATCATATGACAAAGTCATCATGAACACATGAACACCTGCAGATCTCTTTCTATGATGGATCAATATGATAAAAGAAGAAAAAGGAAGTTTGTAAATCACCTGACAAAGTCATAATGAAATACCTAAAAGATCTCTTTCTATGATGGAATCAAAATGATTCATCAAAGAAGAAAAGGAAGGTTCTAAACCATAGGATAAAAGAAAGAAATGAAATCACATGAAAAGTCATCTGAACTTTTTTGAATCAATAGGATAAAAGAAAAAAATCACATGAAAAGTTAAAATCAGATCATGACAAAGTATCATGAACACCTAAAAAAATTATGGATCAATAGGATAAAAGAAGAAAAAAGATTGTAAATCTTTGAAAATCAGATCTTTCTATGATGGATCAAAGTCATCATTGAACAAAAGTGCAGAACACCTTGCTCTTTCTATGATGGATCAATATGATAAAAGAAGAAAAGGGAATTAAATTGAAAAATCACATGAACAAAGTCATCAATAGAACACCTTGCAGATCTCTTTCTGAACACCTATCAATTAGGATCAAAAAATAAAAATCAAAGAAAAGGAATCTCTTGTAAATCACAATATGACAAAGTCATAATGAACACCTTGCAACACCTTATCTCTTTCTATGATGGATCAATAGGATAAAAGAAATAAAAAATTATGGAAAAGAAGATACGAACTTTGGGGAGCCGAGAAAAAGCTAAGAGAGAATAAAAATAAAATTTTTGAATAGCGTAGAAAAATTATGAAAAGAAAGAAAGAAAACGGAAAAAGAAAAATGAATATAAATTTTGGTTTGTCTCAATGAGGCTGTAATGGTCAAAAGCTAGGTAGAACAGAGCGGAGTAAAGGAGTTCGATCCTCACTAGGTGCCCCATACTTTGGTTCGATGTAAGTGGAAAAACTCAAACGAAAATCAATAGTTGGAACCTCCAGGTGGATTTTATGAATTTGGGAAAACATCTCGAGTAAGAAAATTACGAAAAATGTGGTGAAAAGACCTCACTATTGACCTGAATTTCAGAACGGTGCCATATATATGGAAGATTGATGAATAGAAAAAATGAAACCTCCATAAATGTTTTTTTTAATGAAAGAAAAAATTTTATTTAAAAGATTTCTTTTTTCCAAAAAGAAAAGAAAACAAATATATTTTTTCAAAAAATATCAAGTCATATTTTTTTAAAAAATATCTAGTAATTTAACTTGGAAAATGGGGACAAAATTTTTTTTTCAAAATATAAGTAGTTAAATATTTAAATGAATGTAAGAAAGAAAGATAGATTGCTGGAAAATAAAATTTCTTTAAAAAAGGAAATGAAAGAAAGAAACAAAGATTTGAATAAAGGAACGAAACTCCCTGTTTATATTTCTAAAGAAGAAAAAGACCCCAGTCAGGGTTAACCTGAAATATATTTTTAGAAAAGAAAAATAAAGAAAACCTCCTTCTCAAAAGCCTTGAAAGGATGAAATATTTAGAACAATAAACAAAACGGTATCAAGCAAGGCAGGAAGGAGTTCGGAACAAAAAATCGCTTGAAAGAAAAGAACGCATTAACACTTCGTCCTTGATGAAACTATATACTTTGGATAAGAAAAAGACCGAAAACAAGAGAAAGAAAAGCCATCTTTGGAAAAAAGAAATATAAACTTTGAATGAATAAAGGAACGAAAACAAAAAAGAAAGAGATTGTGAAGAAATGGATTGTAGATGAAAAATAGAGAAAATGGTAAACGCAGAAAAAATACACATGGATCATCAATAAAAATAAAAGAAACGTTGAAATATGAAAAGAAAGTTTCCAATTGAAATAAAAACAAAAAAAGAAAATATCAAAACAAGGCAGGAAGGAGAAAATAACAACATTAGAGACAGCCTGTCTAGAAAAATGTTTGTGTGGGGAGGTTGAAGGAAAAAAAATCAAGCGAAACTAGCTAGAATGAGACGAAAAAAAAAAAGAAAAAAAAGAAAGAAAAAAGTCTGTGTATAGAAATGAAATTTAGGAAGAAAGAATGAAAAAAATAAAAGGGTGGAATCTATCACGAATGAAGTCAAATTCAGTGAATGGATCAGTTTGATGAAAAAGAAAATAGTTTTTGCAGTGACAGAAGGAATAAGATTTCTTTTGAGAATGCGCGTGAGTTTAGACAAATGAAAAAAAAAATGATTTAAAGAAGAAAATTGAAAAAAATAAAGAAACAAGAAGAAATATCAAATCAAATGCAGGAAAGAGAATAAGATAGAAATTAAAGGCAAATAGAAAAAAGGAATTACAAAAGGAAGAATATAAAAAATAAAAGAAAGATTAAAAAAAAGAAAAATAAAAAAGAAAAAGACAAAAAGAAAAAAAAAAATGAAAAAAGAAATGAAAAAAAAAAAGAAAAAAAAAGAAAATGAAATTATTTTCATTAGAAAAGAAAAGTTAAATGAAAGAAAAGACAAGAAAGAAAGAGAGGAAAGAAAAGAAAAAAACAAAAATGAAAAGAAAGAAAGAAAGAGAAAGAAAAATAGAAAGAAGAAAACAAGAAGAAAGAAAGAATAAGAAAAAAGAAAGAAAGAATGAAAAAGAAAAAAAAAGAAACAAAAAAAAAGAAAAAGAAAATGAAAGAAGAAAAGAAAGAAAAAATTCTGAAAAGAAACAAAAAAGAAAGAAAGGAAAAGGAAAAAAAAAAAAAAAAGAAAAAAGAAAGAAAGAAAAAAAAAAAAGAAAGGAAACAAAAAAAACAAAAAGAATCATGAAAAGAAAGAAACAAAAAAAAAAACTAAAAAAAACATTAAAGAAAAAAACTAAAAAGAAAGAAAAATGAAAAAAAGTAGAAAAGAAAAAAGAAAGAGAAAAAGAAAAAGAGTGGAAAGAAAACAACAAAAGAAAAAAGAAAACATAAAACAAAGAAGGAACCCATTCAAGAAAAAAAAAAGAACTGTGAAAAAAATTGAAAAGAAACAAGAAATCACTAAGAAAACAATGGAAATAAACAAAATTCAAAGAAAATAATTACGAATAATTTGGCATTTTACAAAAAAAACAATGAGTTTCTGTCACAAAGTCATCCAAACGGAAAAAAGAAAAAAACAAAAAAAACAAGAAAAATAGCAAATAATAAAGAAAGGAATAAAGAAACAGAATAGACAGGAATCTGAAATAGTTGAAACAAGAAGAAAAAATAAAAAATGGACATTGTTTGTAATTAAAGTTAAAAAAAAAAAGTTAATGTACTTTGGGGTGTTTTCTACTTTTTATTCTTGGTTTCGTTTTCCTTTGTAAAAAAAAGAAAACGTTCGAAAATCTTTAATCAAGACACCTCCACCCCTATTTGTAATATGAAGGAGATTTCATTTTCCTTCGTATTTCAATGCCATGTTGTCGTTATTGAAGTCCTCTTTTTTTTATCAGACCAAATATAACTTCAACTATCTTTTTTCTTTTTGATTTTAAAAATGTATTTTTTGGAAATACCTTTGATACAAGGTCTGAAAAGATTCTTTATGTATTCATTGAATATATGAAAATTAAATCAATCGAAAATAGCAATATGCCTTTACAGAATCCGTTCAAAAAAGTTCAAAAACAAAAAGCCTCTCTTGACAAAAAAAGCGACAAAAGGATTTATAAACACACACATGAAATTTTCATCAAAATTAAAGAAAAAAAAAAAAAGAAAAATTGAGAAAACCTCAAATGTAGTTTGGGAATGACCTCCAGAAAAGAAAAACAAAAATAAACAAAGAAAACTTAAGAAAATAAATAAAGAAATATAAAACAAAAGAGATAAAAAATAAATAGGAAAATAAAAGTTTCTTCAAGGTAGAAAAAGCCATTATTTTTGAAAATGAGAAAAAGAAAGAAAAAAAACTAAAGAAATTCATGTTTTGTTTAAAGAAATCGAGAAAGGAAAACGAAAGCGCATTATACATCCAGGCTCTTAGAAAGAAAGAAAAAAGAAAGAAAAAAGAAAAAAAGAAAAATAGGAAGGGAAAATCAAAAAAAAAAAAAAAAAGAAAAAAGAAAAAAAAGAAAAATAAAAAGAAAATGAAAAAAAAAAAAAATCAAAATTTCAAAAAGAGAAAAAAAAAAAAATAAAAAAGACCAGCAAAAAGAATGAAAAAAAAATAAAAAGATCAAAGAAAACAAAAAAGAAAGACAGAAAGTGTTATAAAATCATCAAAAACGTTAATCCTTTTCTTTTTAAAGCAAATACCAAAGGATATTCAAAAAAAAAGATGATGGAAAGAAAAAACCAGAAAATCTGGAAAGAACAATTTGAAAAGTGAGTTTGAACTCGAATTCAAATAAAATCGGGATGATAAAAAGAAAAAAAATAAACTACCAGATAAAAAGGCAATATAATTGACAGCAAACACTGGCCACAAAAGTTTCAAAAAATTCCCTATGTAGAGAATCTTCTTGAAATAAAAGAAAAGAAAAGAATCATTCGAATAAAAAAATGATTTACACATTAAAACAAGAATTCCTCCTTGAAGATTTAAAAACATTAACGTCAAAACTTTTGAAAATAGGGAAAATGTCAAAATTCTTAATGGAAGAGTAAAAGATTTCAAAGGGATTCTTCTCTGAATATTTCTCTCAAAAGGATTCGATATCATGTATGTGGAGTCCAGTTCAATACATGTGTAAAAATGAAAACCCGTAACACAAACTTTTCCATGGTTCCTAATTTCGTCCATTTGAATCTAAATTTGTAATTTCGACAGAAGACCGAAAAGAAAATCAGGAGACGCAGAATTCCTCTGTGTATAAACATAAGGCTCTTCTTTATTCTATCTTTTGGGGAAATAGGAAGATTGCCCTGAAAAAGAGAGCCGTCATAAGATAAATATATGTAAATATAAATAAGATTTATACAGATACCTTCTGGGGTTGAATAGCAAAGAAATTTTGAAAAAATTTAATATTTTTTATTTATACAATATATATATATATTAACAAAAAAGGAATTTGGTCTTCGCTGCTATCCAATTTGTGTGAAAGTTACAATTCTTAAAAATGAAACTATTCCACATCACGGTTTTGCAGTGCGCAACTATTCAGACACATTTTTCCAAGCAATAAAAAATGCACAATTCGCAGCAAATAAAAACACCCAAAGATATTGGAAATTTTGTTCGAAATCTAAGATCGAAAGTTCAAACATGTAAATTTAACCAAACAAACAATCCTGGGTCAATTAAACCAAATTAAAAAAAAATTCGGCAGATTTTTGTCCCAAATGAAATAAGAACCAAAAAACAAAGACCGAATGTTTGAAAGAAACTAAAAGAAAAAAAAAATGGGACAAAAATTCTCCTATTAGTTTCCAGCGATATTCAAAAATTGCAAAAAGAAAATTTTAAGAGAAAGAAAACGTTTAAGAAAATAAAAGAAAAAGAAAATGACCCCTGGAAGAAAAGAAAAAGGAAAATCGTATTTAAAAAAAAGAAAAAGAAAAGAAAAGGCAGAAAATTTTTTAATTTTATCATTTATTTTAAGATAAAAAGAAAAGACCTCGTATAAAATTTTCAAAAAAGAAATTATAAAAAAAAAAAAAGAAATGAAAAAAATTTCTTGGGTAGGAAAAAAGAAAAAGGAAAAGAAAGAAAAAAAAAAAAAAGAAAAAAGAAAAGAAAAAAAGAAAAAAAAGAAAAGAAAAAAGAAAAGAAAAAAAAAGAAAAAAAGGAAAAAAAAAAAAAAGAAAAAAAAAAAAAAAAGAAAAGAAAAAAAAAGAAAAAGAAAAAAGAAAAAAAAGAAAAAAAAATTTGTTTAAAGAAAAAAAAAGAAAAAGAAAAAAAAAAAAGAAAAAGAAAAAAGTTCCCCAGAAAAGAAAAAAAAAAAATGCAAAGAAAAGAAACTGCTAAATGAAAGAAAAGGACCTGTCGCAAAAATAAAAAAATATTGAGTAAAGAAAAAAGAAAAAAGAAAAAAAATTTTAAAAAACCTTTGTTCTCAAAAAAGAAAAAAAATAGCAAAAATCTTAAGTTTGAAATGAAAATTGTTGAAAGAAAAAATGATCAAATAATGTAAGAAAATTTTAAAGAATAAAAAATGTAATGTAAAGGAAAAAAATTAAATTTTGAGCAGAAATTTTTATAAAAATAAAAAATCCCCCAAAATTGTTTATTTATTTAAAAAAATTGTAAAATCATTAAATTTCTATTTTCAAGTTGGTTAAACTTTCAATAATATTCTAACGAAAATTGTAAAAAATTTATATAATTACTTTTTTAAAATTCCTGGATTTAATCTCAGATGAAACTTTCAACTTTATTTGCATTATTCTAAAATTTTAAAATTTATTGCAAGAATGTTTTAATTTGGAAATTAGCTCAATTAATTTAAATTTTTTTTTGCAATTTGAGGCAAAAAATTACAGACCAATTTATTTTCAACCAAAAAAAAATATTTTGGAATATCAAAATATTCATTAGTTATTAAAATTTTTTTTTTACGAAAAAAAAAATTTTTTTCCTATGGAAGGCATTCATTTTCCTTATAAATTTATGGATCTTCATTTTTTCTCCTCAGTACTGCTTCCAAGACAAAATTCTATGCTTGAAGAAATCCCCATTTTTCTATTCTTGGCCTCACAATGTTTTGTGTTGACCAAATCCAACACAAAAAAGCAGATACCTTTTAAGTTCCATAAAATGGATATTTGTGATATTCTATAATTTTCCAATTTGGAACAAAGAATATTTTTTAAACATTAATTATATTCAATCACATCTCCTGTCATTTACTGTAATTCTCAAATTTAAAACTAAAAAAGCATGTAAAAGAATGTTATTAAAATTCCCTCTTATGGCTTTTTGAAACAAAAAAAATTATTGAGAGTAATAGCAGTGTCAAAAGAAAATCCATCCTTTTGGCAAACTTCAATTTGAATTAGGTTAAACATTTCCTGTCAAAAATAACTTCAAAAAACTGTTTATAATATGTGAATCATATCATGAAATTCAGAGAACCCCTGCCATGCATCTGCTGTGCTTTTCCAAGATTAAACATGAAGAACAGGTCATATTGTTGAATGTTATTATTTTATATTCAGCCAGGATTTCAACAAAAGAAAGTGAAATTTTAATCAATTTCTAAAAACAAAAGCAACAAATACCTAACTTATAAGATTTCTAACATTACATAAAAAGACAGTTAATATAATTTTCACAGCAACCTTATTTCTTTTAGCACTTATATTTTGCAAAACCAACAAAAAAGAAATCAAAATAACATTATCCACAATCATAGCATGACATATTGTCAAGTTTGCCATTGAATGACTTCAAGAGTTTTTTTACCATCATAATGGCACTATAAAAGAGATCTGTAAATACTAAGGTACTTTTGTGATAAGACAGTTAATATTTTGGAAGAATTTGAGGAATAAAAAGTAATTTTCTAATATTTTTAAATTTATTTGGGAATACAGATGATACAAGTTTTTCATAAATGTAAAATATATTGAAAAATCACTAAGTTCTCCTGATGAGAAAAGCATTTGCTTTACACACAACAAATATTTTTCAACATAGTCTCCTTCTTTTTATTTATCAAAGCACTTTAATCCAGTGATGAGTAATAATGGCATAGATCAAATAGATATATATATATATAATATGCATAATTGGTAAAATTTTATTATATATATATATATATATAATATGCATAATGGTGAAAATTTATAATATATATATATATATATATATATATATATATATATATATATTATTAAAATTTTAGATTAAAATTTAGCTAATGAGCAATAAAACCCATGTCAACAATGGGTCAAAGCCATGCCTATCACAAATTTGTTTAAAACTTTGACTTCAAAAATTTAAAGGTAATGCTAATCATCTTCAGTTTAAATTTTGTTCTTTTGTCCTCTCTTTAATGTTTTTCATATTCTTTTCATACTCAGTAACTCATTGCATCTTAGTGTCTTTTATTGCCTTGCATTGAAATGAAATAAAAAAACAGAAAACTGACACATTTATAGATTGTCTCATATTTCTAACTCAAATATTTCTCCAAAATTTTGCAAAAGAAAAAAAAAGATTTTTTTTTAAAAATAATGAGAAAGTATAAAATTGAAAACTTTTCTTTTTTCATGTCTAGAAAGCTTAATTATATATCATTTTAAAGTAAACAGGTACATCTAAAACTCAGGTGTCAAACAAAAACTTCCATCTAACAACAAAATTATCTAGTTATTTTCTGCAAGTGCTTACTCAGACATTTATTTCTGAATATGGAAAAATTGTTATTCATATAGAAAAACATTCCTAACAAAAAAAACAATAACAATTACTTACCTTATCATCTTTCTTATCCCCACCCTGACCAAAATATGCTCCTGACTGATTCTGACCCTAAAATCAAAAGCAAACAATTTTACATTAATAAACAAAACAAAAAAAATAAATAAATAAAAAATTTCTACATACAAGTCATTATGTTCAGAGCATTTCTTCTCCAGATGCCAATTTTTATAAATTCAATAAACACACAAGGAAGCAAAAAAACATTCAAATAATATCAACATTTAAAAAAATAATTTGGAAAAATGTACATAAAATAAATTCCAAACCAAAAGTTATAAATTTTTTTATCTGATTCATGTCTATCTGTAATATCTTATTTCATGAACTGTGGAATTATATTTTGCAAAAGTAATTTTATTCCTTTACTGAGAAACTCATGGCCTTTTTTTTTAATTAGATCCACAGCATTATGCTACCATTAATGATTTTCAGCTTATAGTAAGAAATCATCTATGAATTATCTTTTTGATGAACAGCATTTTGTTTTATGCCTTCAATTAAAATCTACTGCAAAAATTCAAAGTAAAACAAAATATTATCTTATTTTTCAGAGAGTCACAAGTTTTGCTTACAGATGACTTGTGTTAAGTCAAACAAATGGTAATTGTAATATTAGCAGATTTCTAATAAGAAAAACATTTGACATTCATTGACCAGGCAGACAGTACTACCTTTGGTTGAAATTTATAAAATATTTCTATTAAAATAATTTTTCAGGGAAATAGGTTTTTCAAGTCCATTAAATAATTTTCCAGTACTGATTGGAGGGGGGGGCTTCCTTCTTAACCTTTTCTTTTGAAGTAATGTGAATGTCAAATGTACATCTTGATAATGTTATTCATTCATTTCCTCTTCAAATTAGATGTGCTATCCATTTTATGTTATTGTTACTGTTGGAATTTTCAGGTGATATGGTGTCTATTATTTCATACATTTTGTAGCACCAGTCCATAATGTTTTCATTTTTAATGGTCCGCATTATAACCAGCAGGCTTCATTCACTAAAAAAATATTTAATCATTGATCTTAGAAAGTGGGTTGTATAGACCTGACACCATTAAATATTTTCTGAATGAGTTTGGCAATGTAAATTACATGGAAGTCTCAATCAACATAAGGTTATTTAAGGACATGACTGTAGTTTTAGGCTAATGCTTTGGTTTTAGCAACTTGTGGTGGTGTGCAAACTACTTCTATTCAATTTCCTTATTTTCTGTACTTCAATTTGTTCTAACACTGAAAAATTTACATTAAATATTTGTAAAAAAAAATTAAAATAACAAAAAAGCATCAAGAACTTATCACAAATACATTTTTTTTTTTTTATTTATCAATCTTTATGGAATATAAAAACTGAATGCTTTTTGATTCATAAGAGACTGCACCAATGTTGTTTATCAAAAAGCTATTAATAAATTTTTTTTAACATTTCCTATATTTTTCCATGAACAGTATAAGTTGAAAAATGGCTTTAGTCATTTTGATGTATTAAGATTAGATAAGTGATGACTATAAAAGAATAAATTTCCTTTTATCTGTATTTTTTGTAGTTTTGAAATTAAATGTTTAATGAGTTTTGGATTATTGTCTTCATTGTTTAACAAATTTTTGACATGTTTCAAATAATACATTCTTCATGAGAGAAGAAACTTTTTCAGCTATGATAATTAGCATTTGGCTATTGGGATTTAAACAACAGTAATTTTGTTTTGTAGAGATTAACAAAAACATTACTTTTAGAAAGATGTTTACAAATGGAACCAAAATGCTAGCAATAATATAGTTCTAGGAAAAAATTTGAAAAAAATTTTTCTTCAATAATAATAATTCATCAGGGTCATAGGAAGTTATGAGGTGAAACTACTAAAGCAAGCTTAGCAGAACATGGGTGGAAAAGGCTCATACTGCTCCTTTGAAATAAAGTCTAAAGATAGAAAATGATAGTTTAAAAATTAAAATTGGAATTGAGACACCAACCCATCAAATGCAAAAGATAACCATTGCAGGATTTATATATTGGCTGCAGCCTGGGTGCACCAAGGCCCTCTAGTCTTGAGTCCCTGATAAAATTTTAAAAATTTTAACAGAGGAGATTTGATTATTTTCAGATTTTCTTGTATAACATCCTTGGAAACAATTTAAAGAGTGTTGGACTTCAGCTCCAGTTGAAATGGATCTTTTAAATTTTGATGCATGAAAGATTGATTGTTTTTTTTTAATAGATTTTTAATGTAAAAATTTTTAGCTTTGCATAATTTTGTCTATTTTGCTCAATTATACGTCATTGAACACAGATATGTAATACTAAAACTCAAAAGCCAAAAGCCAAAATGAAAACAAATGGATTAATTCAAAATTTTTTTCAATTTTAAAATGTTAAAACTTTATCCCTTTTCTTTTACCATCTAAAAATACATGCTTTGTTAAGAGTAGAGCACTTACTGAAAAAAGGCCATTTCAAACCTAATCAATTTTTATTTTTATCCTCTTTTTTATTCCCAAAAAAGTAAAAATGAAAAAAGTAGACACTTAAAGATCTTTTATCTTCATAAATAGTAGTTTTGAATTTCTGACATTATTAAATCTCGCCCAAGACTTCTAAATTTTTTATTTTATTTTCGATCGTGATGATGCACTCCTGTTGTAAGAAAAGCTTACTGAATGAATGACCCTTCTAAGACAAAAAAGAGAATAAGTACAAACTTTGAAATCAAGCTAAAACTTTTCAAAGTCACTAAAATAAGTCTCACTCTGAAACTTTTATGAAATAGATTTTTGAGTACAATTTTCAATTTTAAATATTTGGAGATTAAAATCAATCGATTAATCAATCAAAACTTAAAGGTTCGTTTTTAACAGCACTACAGATCGTATTGAAAAAAAAAAATTTCTGATTCTGTAAAAACAAATAGAGAGCAAGAAGTCGTAATTTTAAGAAATAATTCATATCACAGTTTTATTAAGAGTTATAAATTCCCCAGTTGGTTTATTCACATCTTATTGCGGAATTCTATTTACAAGGCAATCCTGTTCGCTCGTCAAAAATTGGTGACCTAAATTTGGACGCAGCTGCTTGAAAGGAAAATTAAAAGTTCAATTTAAGTTCTGAAAATTAAATTTAACAAATTTGAAGTTTCTATTTTAAACCATCAGTGACCCAAAACTGGAGCTCGTTATCAAGCATTTTATTTTGTTAGATGGGGTAGTTCCTTGTTAAACTGTACATAAATGACCACAGTTAACAATTAAACACACATTATAAAAATAAAAGCAAACGATAATTGTTCTTTCTTCATTAGCAATCGGTTAAAAAAACACATTTTCATTGATGATGGTAAATTTCTTTTAAGTCTACAAATCATTTTTATTAACTTTGAATATTGTCTTAAATTAAAATTAAAGCGGATAGTACCATTACCAAGATGAAGAAAAAAGTTACCTAAGAAAAAATATAAACAAATTCTGTACAATTACTTAATAACATTTATTTAGAGGGCCCAAAAAAATAACCACCACAAAAAATAATAATTTTCAATTTCCATTCAAAAAAAAGTTTCAAATTTTAATTAATATCTCAAAGTTTTAAAAAATATCAGATGCTCCTAAGTCCTACTCCTAACTAGCAATTTTTTTAATTCTCAATTTATTGTTTTTACTAAAAAGGAAATATTAAAAAAATGAATAAGATTATAAATTTTGAAGAAAAAATAAAATATTGATTTATAGAATTTTCTTTTTTTTTCAGGTGTATTATTTTTCCTTTTAAAATATTAGCTAAATAACAATTCAATAACTTTAATTGAATTTTCATTCATGCAAAAATGACAGATCAACAAACATTATTCATTTAGGAAACAGTTCATTTTAGTTTAGATTTCTCAAAAAACTAAAAGTTAAAATGTTAAATATTTGAAAAACGAAAAAACAAAGAAACAAATTCAAAACGAAACAATGAAAAAATTTTTTCTCTAAATAAACATCAATATAGATATTAAACTCAGAGATCTCGATAAAATTCTAAACAATTAAATAAAATTAAATAACCAAAATTATTAATATTTACTTATTGTCAAATAATATCGAAGAAACTTAAAAATAACAAATCCAAAAGAAAAGCACGAACATTAGAATTAAATAATTATTGTTCTTAAATTTTAATGCAATTATTTGTCAGTTAAGATTAGAAGAATTTTTAGCATCAAGAATTAAATAAGAAAACTCGTTTCTTTAAAAAGAAGAAGAAAACAAAAAATTACTGATTTATAGACTTACTATATCGTTTACTTAACGTAAAAAAATCCTCAAAATAACTAGAACTGCTTTGTCCAAAACTCACAAACTCATGCAAGGATTGACCTAGCGGCCTTTCTGTTAGAAAAGACTGGCCTTGTATGAAAAGGATTTTTTTTTTTTCATAGAATTCAATCTTTTTTTTTTCTTTAAAGAAAAAAAAAAGAAAAATAAAAAAGGAATAATTATGTTTAAAATTAATTATTTTTTAAAAAAAAAAAAAAGAAGTGAAAATTTGAAACACTTTTCTTTTTTTTTTTGTCTAGAGATTTTAATTTTATAGCCCTGATAAAAATATAAGAATTAATATACTGGATATTCATCCAGTTCTTTTACTTTTAAAAAGTAAGATAAGTTTAACTGGAATAAAATAATTGACTCCTATTGGTGATGGAGACAAAAATAAAATAAATAAGAAAATAAAATTTCACAGTTCAGGCAAAGACAAAACAGATTTAGAAAAAAAAGATACCCAATTTCAGAATCTTCTAAGATACTTACCATTTGCTTAAAAATTTTTTTTTTCCAGCATTAAAATTTGCATTTAGACCTTATAGGGCATTATCGACAGAATGAATATTTTTATAAAACAATATAATATTTGATCATTGAAATACTAATTTTGGCAAAGGTTGTCAAAGCTGAAAAAAAATATACAATTGGCTGAGAACAGTTCTTTCTCAAAATTCAGACTTGATCATCATTGTAAAAAAATTTTTTGAACTTTTCTTTTTTTATCCGAATTTAAAAAAAAATATTCCCGATGTAAGAAAGAAAAACAAAAGAAGGAGCCTGATGAGAGAGGGAAAGAAAGAATAAAAATAAAAAAAAGACTCTATAAATTTAAATGTGATTAATTAAAAGAGAGATTTTTTATGCAAAAACAAAAAGAGAGAGATCTATAAACAAATATTTGTCATCGAAAAAAAAACTTATTTTTTAAAGAAATGGGGTTCTTGATTAAAAGAACTGTTTATTAATTACGAGGCAGTCGACAAATGAAACAAAGAGTAATTTTGAGTTTCCCATTTGAATATGACATATTTGAAATGATTCTGTTTTCCTGTATGTTTGGAGAAATGATGAAAGACAAAGTTATGTACTTTCTAAAAAGAATTTTGAAAGGATAAAACCAATTTGGAATTAAATAAAACATTTAAATAAAAAAAACTTAAAAGAATGTAGGTTTGAACTTTTCCATGAAAAGGATAAAAAAGAAAGAAAAAAAACATTTTAAAATTTATACGTGATTATGTGCTAAAATAATAAAAAATGAAAAAGAAAAAGAAGGGACTGCTAACATAC